AGGTGCATTGAGGGACATGTTAGGCTAGCATTTTGCACATACTATATTATTCCAAGACACCCAATGTTTTTTAATGGCACACTGCTTAACATCACAAGTTCAACGAGATCTCCGGTATAGTGATGTCAATTGATCACCGTGCCTTGCTCGCACTCCCAAGAGAGTGGAAGTATGTCCGTAGATAGCACATGAATCAGCTGTGCCATATAAAATGGAGATGTGGATGCGCTGATAATCATGCCCGACGAAACAGAAGCAAATGCTAACGAAAGGTTTTGTGCCGGCGTGCTCCAGCATTGGCATTGGTATTTTGGCAATGGGAATGGTTGACTGTAAATGAAAATAAGATGTAACAAGCAGTGCATATGGGAAAGAATGAGACACAACACAAACGAGCATGAAAATGTGGCTAATCCGCCCATCGTGCAAAAGGACCGCTTCGGCGCTGGCCTGATACTGCAACACACCTCCACATCGGCACCGCGTTACCTGCGCTATGCTGCGATGCCCTGCGACACGCACATCTTGAAGGAGCTCTTGAAGTCCTGCACGTCCGTGGTCAGCCGGTTGATGACCTCGCCCGTCTTGTGGTGGTCGTAGAGGCCACATCCTGCTCCATCAGCACGCCGAACAGCTGGGAGCGAAGGTCGGCCGCCATGCCCTCGCCCATGTACGACAGGCACACGATGTAGGCCAGCGTGAACAGCGACTGTGGGCGATAGGGGGCGGGCTGGTGTGATCAGGTAATACGTGGAGCGCGCGGCAGAGGTGTCTCGACAATAAATGCAGGAGAAATGGGCACGACGCAGAACCCTGTGAAGGGCAGCTGTCGATAGCAGAGGCTAAACGACAGACAGCGTGCTCAGTAGGTGTCGAAACGAGGAGTATGTTCAGCCCCTACGCCACTGTGTAGTGCAGTGGCTGACATGACAACGAAGTAGATTTGCACACGACATGGCCCAGGGCACCACGGGATTGCAAAGCAGCAGCAACAAACACAAATGACTAACGACGAAAACCGAACTGCTTTCTGCACTGCCACGTCATCTGAGGCAAACGATATTAGGCGAAAAGTGACAAAGCCTCATCAGCGTGTCACATCCACAATGCGGCGGCATTCACCGTGGCTTTTAATGACGCACACTTTATCCTTAAGTGAAGGCAGCATAGCAATTAGTCCGGCGCAATTGGCTCGAAAACACGCGACAGGCTCTCTGAGAGGTCAAGAGACAATAACTATCATATGTGAATACAGTGTCGCTAAGCAGGCTGACCAGATCCAGAAATTTATATCTGCCCACCAGCATCCAAATATGCCTTGCAGACAGCCCTGATCCCAACTCACCAGCCCGGTGGCCAATGACCACCATCCACACTCACAATCACTATCAACAGAGCCCAACGAGCAACACGGCGTCCAGTAGGCCGGCTAAGCTCCGCGAGCCAAACAGGGTCAGGAAGAGTCTGACAGCCCCACATACATCGGGCAAGAACAGACGGAAGCAGAGGGAAGCAAGCAGAACCAAAGCACACAAGAGAATTGAAGCAAACATGGACAGGACAGCACAAACACATACCACGGAGGACTGGAACAGGCCAGTTCAGACCAGGATCGGGGTGTCCAGACAGGATTAGCACAGGCTAGTTCAGATCAGGATCAGGGTGTCCAGACAGGATCAGCACTGGCTAGTTCAGACCAGGATCAGAGTGTCCTGATGGGATCACAACAGGCTAGTTCAGACCAGGATCAGTGCACCCTGATGGGATCAGCACAACCTAGTTCAGACCAGGTTCAGGACGTCCAGACAGGATAAGCACAGGTCCGTTCAGACCAGGATCAGGGTGTCCAGGCAGGATCAGCACAGGCTAGTTCAGACGAGGATTAGGGTGTCAAGGCAGGATCAGCACAGGACTACTGCAGATGGGACAAGACCATCTGAGCAGTCTCGAGTAGGACGGACCAGGCGCAGCTGACCAGTCACTGCAGTCGAATGAGCAGAACCAGGCAGCGCCGACGTGCACCAGACGAGATCAGCGGGAACCAGAGAGCACCGGCATGCACCAGATAGGATCAGTGGGAACCGTAGAGCGCCGACGTGCACCAGACGGGATCAGCGGGAAACCAGAAGCGCCGACATGCACCAGATAAGATCAGTTGGAGCCACAGAGCGCCGACGTGCACCAGACTGATCAGCGGGAACCAGAAAGCGCCGAATGCACCAGATGGATCAGTGGGAACCACAGAGCGCCGACGTGCACCAGACGGGATCAGCGGGAGCCAGAGGGCGTCGACGCGCACCAGACAAGATCAGCAGGAGCCAGAGAGCACCGGCATGCACCAGATATGATCAGTGGGGACCAGAGAGCGCCATTATGCACCAGACGGGATCAGCGGGAACCGGGGAACGCCGACGTGCACCAGACAGGATCAGTGAGAACCGGATGTGACCGAGAGGATCACGTACGACCAGGCAGGTACACAGAGGACCGGAAATAACAGACAGGGTTAAACCAGACTGACGCGAACCTTACGGGGTTTGGCTAGATGAGAACAATATGGCTTACAGCATGATCTTGTCCAAGAGATGAGACGACACTAAAGAAGACCAGAGCTGAGCGTACAGAAACGCACGTAGTTCTAGCTGACCACTGTAGACCAAACACACCTACACACCAGGCCAGGCAGGACCAGACGCCAGACAAGAAGCAACCAATCGGACGAGACCGGCTCGTACAAAGCTCCCTACCACCCGGACCAGACACCCGCTGCGGCCATCCCAGTGCAGCACCTGCAGGCCGTAGAACGAGATAAGCCGAATGGCCGGCTGGCGTAGCTCGTCGCTGAACTGGCCGCCGCCCTCGCCCGACGCAAAGTGGGTCAGCACGTTGATGAGGTCGCCCAGCAGCCGGGGCACCTCCACGTTGCAGAGGGCGACGACGGCGGCGCTCTGCGGAGGACGATGCTGTCAGCCGGCGCAGCTTAGTGCAGGTTGATCAACACTGGACGCGCCCTGCGCTACAATTTTCCCGTCAAACATATCCCAAAACCACTGTCATATGCTGACCGGCAGTTCCCCAGTCGTCGTGCAATAGCTCGAACTCGTCGCCGGTCACTCACAAAGATCGCGCCGACCAGGTAGTGCAGGTAGGGCCAGAGCAGGCGCCAGAGGCGGCGCCAGTCTAGCCGAGCCGCCTCGGTGGCCGCCTCCTCGGGCATCACGCGCGTGTGCTCTGCCTCGCAGAGCGCCGCCGCGCGCCCCAGCCGCCAGCGCCAGGCGCCACATGCTGCCACGGCCAGACCAGCTGGCAGGCAGCGCGACAAGCGTGGACGCGCCGGCAGCCATGGCGACAGGCCGGGCCGAGCGGGACCAGCGCGCACACGGAAGGCCAAGTTGGATGGCTTGCACTGGCTGAGCAGATGCTTGCAAGGCTTGCACCATGATAACCTGAAATCAGGGGTAATTGGATGCTTGCAACATATGAAAACACATTGGTGTGCACTGGTCTGATTAATTTATGCACAGTATTTTTTATAAATGTTATATCTACCATCTTAAGTGTTTGTGAACTAATTATTCAAGCATCTGTCCCAGCCAATGGTCTTTATTTGCAGGAAAAAGTTTTCCACAGGTACTTCTTTTGCCATCTTAAACTGCTATTTGATCCTGAGAATGTTTGAGAATAAATGAGAATGAACACTCTTCTTTTTTAATCAGAAAAATCACCAGCCAAAACATTGGGTACAATTATCATGGCAATTATATGAATATATCCCATTATACATCCTGCATGACAATGCTTGAGGCATTTACCACATGTATATTGCACCTAAAAAATACAGTTCAAGCAAAATAAGCAAGCTAACACATCTAATCCATCAAACAAAAGTTATAAATATTTACCTGATTGTGTGTATAACAGCATTCTTGGTGGGCAAAGAAGCTTGCAGTCTCATAAATGTGAGCAGCATACTTTGATAAGCTCTGAAGTGAAGAAACCAGGCTTAATAAAGGAGTAACATTATGACAATGAAAATCAATGGCATTTCAATAATAAATGCAAACCAGAAATTCATTTTACTTTTGATTCATTCCATCTTTCCTTTTTTTGATGCTTTTCATTTTCACCAGCCATGAATCAACCTAAGCTGCTATGTTCTAGGTCTATATAACTGGGGTCCTTCAGTTGGCCATCATTTTAAATTTCCCCTAAATAAAATAGCCAGTAGATTATGAGAATACAGCTTAAACTACAACCAATGATCATTAATTACCTACACTTGTGCTTTTTGGAAAAGCATACATGACAGAAGTGTACAATGCCCAGTAATGCCATCATTTGAGGACAATGGGGCCTACCGAAATCTAGCTGATACTTGCCCTGGTATCATGTAGGGGTTCCAACTTATATCAGCATATTGCATGACCACATAACTTCAGGTATAGGAAGCTGAGATATATTTTATATAGGATACCAAGTAAAAAGCAAGACATGATGGAACAAATTGACTATGCCGGCATGCACCAGGCATGTCCAAGCTCATGGCACATCATTACCTATTTTAGCTGTACCAAATTACTCATTTCTTTACACACTATTAAATTAAATGAGTCAGAGTGGCACAACGCTCGAAATCATTTCACATGTTCACATGTTGTCCATAGCACTGCCAGACCAATTTCACCATGATATTCTAAGACAAACTGCACGACAGAGGACCTTGTGCTTAGAGCTCATTGAGGAAACAATATCCTGAGAGTAATGACCAAAGGAATTAGGGTGTTAGAGGTTTTATTTTTCATGCAGCATCATACGAGAACCGTACCTGTATCTTTCTATACATAGATTGTCGAGCTGACAAATGCCGCTATTGTCAAATATGCGCATGAAACCCTACCAATTAATAGCTGCCATATCATAAAGAAAATCCTCTAGGAAAATGCTACCTGAAAAGTTGGTAGGGGCCGCGTACGTTCAAATCGCACCTTTTCTTGGTGGTCTGGAAATTCAAAGACTGTACAAAACTGGGTATATTAGGTTTTCAGATGACCAAGAACAGTTTAAAACAAAAGAGAAGGACCCACGAGAAAAGATAAAAAATATTCAGTGATTGAAAAACTTGTTAATTGGGAATCTTAAGCATTATTACGCTCTCCAGGGGCCCAATGTTTCCGGGGATCTATATGCCTACTTGCCGGGTCATTCCGATTGTTAAGAAGTCTTCTATGTTGCGTTTAATTTCTTTGCGTTTGCTCGGAGGGCACTGCGCTGTTGCTGTGCCCTTCCTGCAAGCGTGCCGGGGCGTTCTTGTCAATCAGGGGCCCTACACGGATTTTTTCCATTCGCCAGAAAGGCTCTATCAGTTATAGCCAGGGTCCCATACGTTAACCTGCCGGACTATTCTCGGTTGCTCAGAGACCCCTTACGTTGGTTTTGGTTCACCTACCGACACACTGGCGATATCCTCATGGGCCCTTTACACTGGTCCAGGACGCTTCCAATTTTAAGTCACTTTCTTAGGGCCTGCGCTCTTATTGGGGGCCATCTGTAAACCTGCTTATGCACACTCGGTAGTTCGGGACCCTCCAACATGGGCATTGGGTACTTTCTGTTATAATGGGTGTCCCTACACAGTTGTCGACGCTCCATCTATTAACATGCTCCAGCACACTGGATCGTTTGCGGGCCCTGCGCATTGGATATTTCAATGTAGGGCCCTACACTCTTGTCGCGGTCATCTGTTTGCCGGCTCGGGTACACTCCATATTTAAGGGGCCCTCCATACGAGGTCTTGGGTACGTTTTATTTGCATAGAGGGCCCTACGCTCTTAACGATATCCTTACCTAACAACATGCTCTGGTGCACTCGATCATTCGGATCCCTCTACATCATGTGGTGGGCATTTCATACTTGAACGGAAGACCTTACGCACTTGTCGGGGCCCATCTGCTAATCTGCTCAAGCACAACGGATTGCTTGGGAGCCCTGCACATTGGGTATTTTAATGAACGACCTTACGCTCTTGTCAGGGACCATCTGACGGCCTGCATGGGTGCACTGGATCTTTTGGGGATCTTCCACACTAGGTCTTAGAGTGAGTTTTGTTTTAATGGGGACCCTACAATCTTGTCAGGGGCCTATCTGATAACCTGCTCCGGCATATTCGATCGCTCGGGACTCTCTACATTGGGTTTTGGGTACGTCCTATTTGAACTGGGCCCCACGCACCTGTCGGGGGGGGGGGGGGGGGGCTCTTTGTTCGCCTCACTGTTCAGCCACACTGGATTGCTCGGGGGCCCTGCAGATTGGGCTTTGGTATTGAAATTTAGGGCCCTACGCTACTGTCGGGGGCCATTTGATAATCTCTTCGTGTAGACTCCATCTTTTGGGGTCTCTGTGCACGGGGTTTTGGGTACTTCTTATTTGAGTGGAGCGCCCTGCGCTCTTGTCAGACCTCTTCTGATGAGTTGCTCGGGTTCATACCATCGTTCGGGGGGCCAATTACATTGGGTATTGTGTGCTTCTATTTGAATGGAGGGCTCTACGCTCTTGTTAGGAGCCGTATCTGTTAACCTGCTTGAACACATTTGATCAATCGGGGGGGGGGGGGGGGGGCTCTACATTTGGTCTTGGGTCATTCCTATTTGGATGGAGGTCCCTACGCTCTTGACAGGGGCCCTATATGATAACTTGCTCGGGCACTGGTCCTGCGCCCTTGTCGGGGGCTACCATCCGATACCTGCCCGGGCACACTCGATCATTCCGAGGACCTCCATGCCGTGTTTTGGTTTCTTCTTATTTGAGTGGATGACCCTATGTTCTTGGTGGGCCCCACTTATTAAGCTGCTCAGGCCGCTGGCGATCACAGATTGAGAGGAGGAACGCACGGAACCATTTCCTCGTGGACCATGCCAAGGGGACTTAAAGACTCTTAAGGGGCCCACAACCGGCTGAACGGACACAGTTTTATAACAAAACAAAAACACAACAAAATTGGACGTCTTTGAGCCTACAGACGACCTAGAACAGTTGCTGGCAAAATTGAAGATTTCATAAGCGGGGAAGTCAATTCCTGGTTGATTTAAAGGTGTTCTTGTGGGAAATTTTGTGGTTCATTACGCAGTGAAGAGATGTTACGCTGTTGCCCGGACCCTATATGTCCACTTGCCGGGTCAGTCTGATCGCTAAGGGGTTTTCCACGTTGCCCTTGATCTCTTTGCAGATCAAGTGCTTCCACGTTGCCCTTGATTCTTGATCGATGAGGTTTTCCTCCGCGGATTTTTCCCGTTCGCCCGAAAGGCTCTACACGCCTTTCCCGGTGCCTTTCCCGGTGTCCGGGACTAATGGCAGCGCACACTCAGTTGCTCAGGGGCCCTTCATATTAGTCTCGGGTTCTTTCCGCTTGCTCGGAGGGCCTTGTGCTGTTGCTTGAGCTCATACATGGTAAGTCAACGAGACACTCGATCCTCCCCCCTCCTTTGATCAGGGATTCTTTCCCTTTGATCTCATCTTCGGAGGACTCTTCACTCCTGTCAAGGCTCTTTTTGTTAACCCCCTTGCTGAGAGGGTCCTGTGCCTTGGCCGGGGCCTTATATGTCAGCCTGCCGGGCACCACCGATAGTTTAGAGGCTCACCACGTTGGTCTTGGGTTCTTTTGCTTGTTTGGGGCACCCTATGCTTGTTGACGGGAGCCTGTTTGTTTGCCTCCTGTGGCCCCCATGATAGATCAGGTTTTGTCCCTATTGGCATTCATGCCTTGGCAATAGAGCAGTAGTCGGATATGCGCCAATGAATTTTTACGCACCATTGTCGAACGTAATTTTACGTGCCAGCCGACGTAGCACAGCACCATTTTCCTTGGCTATTGAGTTTCTGACTTATTACACTTGTGCATCATGCTCTAAACATATTTTGAATGTTAGGATATTGTGTCCTCCTTTGCAACCAAGGAAAAATTCTGCATTAGTCATCAGCCATCACCTGGTCACATCGTCACGCCGGCTACCCGTAAATAAACTAGAACTAATGTCCGCGCTTGGTTTTGATGGCATTTAGCGGCCAACATGAGTTTATTTTGTCAGGTCGTTACGAAACACTTGGCCTAAAAATCACAGGATTTGACATAATCGGTATAAAATGAGTGAGCTCTATGTATGTGCAGCACGCAGCACGCCCAAGTGGTAGCACGTAGCACGTCCAAGTGGTAGCACGCCCAAGCACGTTTAAGTAGCATGCCTAGCTTCATGTAAGGCTGGGCACAGTACGGTGGGTTCCCGTTTTATTAAGCATATATATATATATATATATATATATATATATATATATATATATACGTATGTATGTATGTATATGTGTGTATATATATATGTGCAAATTCACGCAGTTTGTGACGTCACGTGCCGGCTGGCGATGATGCCTGTGCCACGTTCGATCCACCGTCAGCACGTTTGTTGCTGGAATGCATGATGCCAAACGTGCTGACAGAGTGTTTGATGTGTAAGCTGGCAGGAAAGTTTTTTAACTTTACTTACCCTTCTTTCTTTACGTTTTACTTAAAACCACACACGAAGGTCGCGTTCGATCTGTCGTCAGCACGTTTGTCACCATGAATCATGGCCCAGTATTCGTCCTATGTCAGGTCATGTAACCACAAAGTCACGTGGCCTGTTACGTCACGCGCCGGTTGACGATGATGCCAAGATTCTTCTTTTTTTTGTCAGTCCGTCAGCATGGAGAGACAGCACCACCAGTTTGGTTGTTTTTGCGTTAGCGAATGCGTTAGTTGGGATCGGGCACATGTATCTAATTTTGAGGGAGTTGCGAGGTGAGATAGATAAGGAGCGAATCGAAATGCAAAGAGAAGCCATGAAAAGGTAAGTGGCAGTGACTGGTGTGGTGTGTGGTTACCTTTCCCAGTAAATTAATAGCGTTATAAGTAAACACTTAAAATGATAGCGACGAAATTGGAACGAATTGGAAATGGGAAAAATCACTCAATGCCTGGATAGGATAGATGATGGTTATACCGGAGCAGAAGCCACACTTCCAAATGCCACTTTGTACGAAGAGTGTCGGCGGTAAGCCAGTAAAAAAAAATCCGTGAGCCAACAAATCGAACGCTCAGTCAGACGGCGTGACGCACACCGTCCAGCTGACAATCGCGCTGACGACAGATCGAATGGGGCCATGCTTTCAATGGTGCCGTATCCATCGGCCATCGCCTATCGGTCTCATCGGTCCCGTTGGATCGTCAGCATTGGCGTTATTACGAAGGGAGGAAGGCTGAAGTAGGAAATCAGCTGTTCTGTGATTACTTTTGATTTGTTTCACAGCGCTGCTCCAACGTCCGACCTTGAGTCGCCGCCGGCCTGAAGCAGTAGAGCTGGCGGGCGGGGTGGGGGGCACAGGAGGCACGTGCTCCCCCTTAGGTTCCGAAGGGCCCTTAGGGTCCCTGGGAACCCACGATTGAGGGCCCGATCTGAGGGACCGAAGGATCCGAAAGGCCCGAAGAAAGGTTGACCGGAGGTCCCATTCAGGGGCCCCGGGCCTGCAGGGCCGGACACTCCAATGCCAGTGAGAGAACCGTGCGCGCTGCCCAGGGGCCGACTGAGTTGATGAGGGCCTGTATTTTGGTCAGACTCCCCCAGTAACGCACAGCCGGCTCAGTGGCGGCGTGGGCCCAAGGGCTCATTTCCCAGGCAGGAAAAAGCGGGAGCCAGCAATTTACATTGCCCGGGGCCCCACAATGTCTAACAGGGACTCTGTGCTGTGAAGGGGATCCGAGTCGGCCACAGACAGT